CACACACACACACACACACTGACACACACCCCTCAGTCGTCTCCTCTCCATCTTCTTCCCCAGTGATGTCTAAGTATGTATTTGTTCAGAGTGTGTCATTGTGCTGTGGGAACCTGCAGTCTTTGTGTTTCAGTAATCAGCAGTAAGGAGAAGGTGGGGTGGGTGGGGTTCGGTTCAGGGGTCTGAGACGGGCTGAGAGGGGCTGAGAGGGAGGCCTTCGGGCTGCTTCGTTACTCACATCTTTTTTTTTTTTACAGTGTCCTGTCTGGTGATGTGGCAAAAAGAATAATAGTCTTGATGCCAGAAAGAGCCCAACAGATTTTACTTTCACCAGAGGAGCAGTACGGCTATCGCCATAGTGATCCGCTTGATTTATGCGTAGAAATAGCTTTATTATAATTATGCAGGGAGTATTACAGGTTATATGGACACTGCAATGGAAGTAGAACAGGAAAGGAAAAACAGGATAAAGGAGAAATGATGATAGAAAGAGGAGATAAAAGGGAGAAAATGATAAAACATTTTCATTCTGCTTCATCAGCTGCAAAGAGACGTAAAAAGAACAGAACAACCAACGGATATAAGAGATACAATAAAGTAACACCTTGGTACTATTGCTGAAGTATACGTAGTATTATTTAATCTGACATGTACTCTGTGTTACCTGGAGATAATAATGTGGGCTTTCTGTGTGGAGGTGAATCTCTGAGTACCTGGAGCCAAATACCTGTAGTTGATTGTGAGAAGAACACTAGTGCATGAAAGGTTTATCCAAAGGAAAAATGCTCAATAGTGGTTGTGGAGAGCCGAAGACGCGCCCCCCCCAGAGCAGCGAGGCGAGCACCGGGGGACCCAAAGCCCCAGATGCCCAAATGGACCCCAAGAGCAAAGGCTCCCAGGAGGGGCCAGCCCAGGAAATCTGACCCCCACCAAGGGAGGAGGAGAGACGGCCCTGAGGAAGTCCCCCAGCCACCGCAATGCCGGAGCCCCCAGGAGCCGCGGGGACGAGTCAGCGGGCTCCGCCGGCAGCCAGCCACCCTGAATCGGATCTGGCCATGGGCCCCTAGGGACCCAAGGCCCCAGGGGTGCCCCACCCCCTGGCGGGAGCCCCGGCCGGGGCCCCGAGGGGCCAGGCCCCGTGGAGCAGCCACAAGGAATAAGCCAGTAGCCACCAGAGGGAGCGGTTCAGACCCCAACCGTTCAGGTTCATCTCACATCCAATAATCCCAGGACCGAGGACCCGGCAGGCCGGTGGCCGGTCCCAGAATTACCAGATGACCCAATAAGTGAACCTAAAATCTAGTTCCTGCTTCGGGCCCGGCCCCACACCCCCACCTGAGATCATGACGGTTCATATTAATAAGGTTCTCAGAAAAACAGCTCTGGATAATTACAGATACTTCACCATAATTACCGCTACTTATGGGATGATTTCTTCTACATATATCAATCCTGGGTGTAAAACTAAACCAGCAGGAAGTTTCTGTCGCTCAGTCTTAGCCTCATTTGACCAAGTAGCTCCAATTAAAATCTCAGAGCCTAAAAAACTCCCTATGTTTACATTTTTACTGCATTGTTTGTGTGCGTGCATCTAAACCTGATTCTCTTCTAGTAGTTTTGTATATTTAATCTAATCAGAGTAGATTTGTATTTAATATTTAACTCTGCTATTTTTGCATCATTCTGCACAAAAGACTAAACAGTTTCTCCCAGACCTGTTGGACCAGTTCCTTTTTCATTCTTGTCTATGTTCGTCTTTATTAAATAGTACACAGTATAAATTAATTTGATAACCTATAAGACAAAGAAATCAGAATAGATTTGTCTATAAAATGATTGGCAGGTGGAAATGTTTCTGATTCTAAATGAAGTGCATTTGATCGACCAAAGAGCCAGAAAAGTGGTGAAGCTTTGCTTAGAACAAAGCTGCTCAGCTCAGCAGCCATGTTTGCTCAGGTTTAAGACGGAGCAAAGGGAATTAGGATTTAGATCTTTGGTGCAATCTGTCTAGTTTGAAAAGGATTTCTTTTAAAACAGTGATGGCAACAAATCAAGCTTTGCAATTTTACCAACTGTCATCCTGGCATCCAGGCTGGCCTGTAGTGCTGATGCATTGCTCTGCTGTGAGGGCGTCTTGCAGGCATGCCTGTGGACAAACGGTGACAGGAAGCAGTTTGTATGATGGAGTGAAGGAGGTGATGATGTGGAACAGTCTGATAAAATGATGTCTGTTTCACCTCCTCCAGCTGGGTCACAGCCTCACCCAGGGACCAAAACCAATCTCAGTAACTTTCTGTCTCTTTCTCTTTTTTTTTCCTACCTTTGACTCTTTCTTTAGTGTAAAACCTTAGCGGGGATTTGTGACCACATCATCTCTCTGTCGTCGGACTCTCTGGTGTCTCAGTCAGCACATCTGGAGGTGGTCCACCTCACCAGCATCATGCCCAGCGAAGGCCTGGTGAGGACAGAAGCTCACAGAGATAAATCCTGCTTATCAAACCAAACAGCAGCAGGACTTTCTGCATTTCTCTTGTTAAACAAGCTTCTCATTTTTCAACATATGTAAACTCAATTTAAAATTCAATTCAGTTTATTGTAAACTCTTCACCTTTTATTCCACGGGAATAATTTTCATTTTTGATGCCAAAGTGTAAACAATAAATTTAAAATGCAACAGAATTTAAATGCTTAAAGTATTGAAAGATCTTTAAATCATTTTTTTCACCATTTTTTTTTTTTTACTTTTCTGTCTGCAAAATGGAAATTAATCTAATATATTTAATTTAGTTTACTTTAATAGGTTCCCAAACACTTCAGCCTGAGACCCTGAAAATAATGAAACAACAGACTGGAGACCCTCTGAAATACATTCAGTTAATTTGATCTATATTCATTGAAAGGGAAATAACTATATATTAATACAAAATAAAAAAAATAAATATTTGATTCACTGTTTTAAATCTATTTTTAAATATTTAATTGTATATTTAACTAACTGGTATAAACATTCATAAAATGATAAAAGGACAATTTAAATCATATATTAGATAAATTAGCAAACAAACAAACAAAGACATAAATAAATAATGTTAACTTAGGGAACTTTTGTTTATTACACAGGATTTTCACATATTTGGGCCGTTCATATAATCAGTGATTACATCACAATCATTTTTAAAAGGTGTAAATATTTAAAGTTATTTAACAGTAGCTGTTTGCTGATAATAATTAGATTTTATCCAAATGTTACAACATTTTTAAGAGCTGTTAGTAAGAACTGACAGGCTTTGCTTCATCTTCAACTTTAATAATAACATTTTGCAATTTTAAGATCATCCGTTTCATTTTTCTCAAAACATATCTGATAAAAAATGTTCAGAAATCTTAAAGAGCTTGAATGATCCATAAAAAGCAAACCTGTCAGGAGATCTCTGTGATATTTGATGTTAGCTGGATTCTTATTTTTCTCTATCAGAGAAGTTTATGTTTGGCTTGATGTCTTAAGTGAGTAATTGGATCAATTAAAGGCTAAATATGGGGCTTAAAATGCTGATAAATATTGTTTGGAGCGGTGAGTGTCTGGCTCATAAAGACATAAACAGACATCTTTAACGGTAGCTGATGGTCTAACTTTGTATAATCGTTCTGATTTCAAGCTAGCAGTGGAACATAGAATCCTCACTGAGCATCAGATCATTCAGTTTAAAACAGCACATGTTCTTCGCTGCAGGTGAAATGAAAATAACCGCGTTTAACATTCACATCTACCTTTTTAACTCAGCCAAATAGACTGCAGAAACCAAAGGTTATAAATGTGTTAGTTTACTGATTGGTCGTTTTTCTTCCCATTCTTTACACCTTTCATACCAAACATTCTGCAGAATCAAACGGTGGGAGGACTACAGTAGTAAAAAAGTGGAAAAGTTCATATGAAATGATTTGATTCTTTCTCATAAATATAAGAAAAAATATCACTGATATCCTTTTAGTAGTCATTTGAGTCATTTGTCATTTGAAAAGTTCTTTAAACAGTGTAAGGAAAAGTTTAGTTTATAAAGGAGTAGTCCTGGTTAGTCTTTAGGTTTCGGATCATTTGGATCACAGTTTTTAGTTTCTGTTATTTTGCTAGAATCACTTTGCTATGGACTTTCTACCATTCCTGGCCAACAATAGTGAGCTATGAGTAAAGGATGCTTTTAGTCACAAAGATAACCAGCCTATCTGGATGCAGATTTCTACAGTTGGATGTTTTGTTCTTAAAACTTCAGTAAATTCAAAGCCCTGCTTCACTTTACAGCCAATGATCAGATCACAGCTTTTCAAAGGGGGTCATCACCATCCAGCGATTTTTTATAGTCATATTTTCTCGTCTTTCTGCCCAACTGGAAAAATACTTTCAAAGAACATTCTGGCATTCTGCTTTTTAAACCTAAGAGGTTTAAAAGTCCATTCTTTGGGTCTATTTGCCAAACTGCAGAGTTTTAAAACATCCAAACCCCCCACTGGTCGCCCGTATGTGTGAAACACACTATTTAATATGTGTTGTTTGGAAATATAGATTTTATTAAATCGTTTGAAGAAAGTTTCACAGATTATCCTTTTAAATATAGAGATATGATGCTGATTAATGCATGTTCCCTGCATGAATGCACCAAATATTTGCCAATAAAAGAAAAGCCCTACAGGTTGGTATAAACCGTGATATTGTTCCAACTGCCCTGTGAACGGACCAACCTCTTATCCCACATTCTATTCTCAGCATTATGGGAGGAGTGTCTGGGACATTAATGCATTAAAACAAAACTAATATCCTTCTGAGAATCAATTTAAAGAACTTGGAAGTGAGAGACTTGACTATTTCATAAATTGGTTTCTGTCATTAAATGATGGTGTTTCTCCTTAAAAAAACACACTGAAAGTTGTAAGAATATCAGAGAATACTTTAAGCTGTTCAGGTTTCCTGTGATAGTAGTTAATAGCAGAGGCGGGTAGAGAGCAGCACTACTTTAACATTTTTCTAATCAAATAAAATTAAAAAAAATATTCTACAGAGAAGCGACTTGAGTCCTGAGTGACTGTTGGATAAAAACATCTGATTAAATGTTTAGAAATGATGCTGCAAACAGACTTTATGTGAAAGTTCTGGTATTTTAAAGAATCAAATGTCTAAAGAATACCAATAAATGTAATGAATATAAAAGAACAAATTTATTTACCATGTTTTTTAGGATAAAACTTATATTAGGACGGATAAGAAAGAATTTACTGTTTACTGCATGTTTACCTGAAAGAGGGCAGAGTTGGATATTTTACAAGAAGATTCCTCAAGTTAAAGTAAGAAGTATAGTGCAGTAAATTTAGTAAAAATACTTCAAAGTAAATGTAACTGAGTAAATGTAAGTAATTATTCCCAGCTCTGCTGATTAGTGATGATTATTTCTTAAACTATCATTCATGTCCTTTAGTTTACTGAACGTTTCCTCAACATCTTCTCTTTCTGTTGTTTTTCCTGTGTCTGAATCCTCGTGTCTGTCAGGGGATGTACATCAAGTCAACATACGACGGCCTCCATGTTATCACTGGAACCACAGAAAACGTATGTTTAAAAAAAAAACATCTGGAGGTTTGAAAGACTCCAAACGATCGTCCTTTTTCTCCAATAAAACTTCACCAACTGATTTAGTTCCCCTTTCCTCCAGTCTCCTGCTGATCAGTGTAAGAAGATCCACGCTGGAGACGAGGTGATCCAAGTCAACCATCAGACGGTGGTGAGTAAAAACCTTCAAAGCGTGTTGAAGTCTGGAGAAGCTGCTGCTGCGTCTCTGCAGAGAACAGTTCCTTCTTCACTCTATAGATGAGGAGCATATTTCCCCTCATGCTCCTGTTCACGCTCTGTCCCAGTCTACTCATACTGGGAGGGGACTCACATCTGATGGTTTAAAGTGTCATTGTATGACTGAACTATTTTTCATTGCATCACTCTTCTACACTGTGTTTTGTTGGGATTTTAAGGTTCTTTCTAAATAGCATTCATTTGTCTTCGACTCTTCTTAGCTAATATTTTGTGATTTAGTGTTTTGTCTCTGTGAAACTTGCAAAGAGTAAAAAGTTAAGATGACTGATCCTGACTTTAGCTGGACTGCTTAAACACATCCAGAGCATATTTTTGATCTGGGGGGGGGGGGGCTAGCTCAGCTGTCATCATCTAAAAGATTTAGAAGAAAATAGCAGTTGGAAAGTTTTTCTTCCAAGTTTTGCCTTATTTGTCCCGTCAGGCCTCTTATTTCCACATGTTTTCAGTAATAAATGCAGATCTTCTCTCTACAAACATTTTAGCCCAACTTGGATTTTATTTTTCACCTAAACTGCTTCAAACTTCATCCCTTTTCTCTCCGGCTCCATTCTGTGGTCTTCTTCATGCTGTTAGTTTTCTTTAAACTGAATTAACTATTTAGTTAATGACTTTGTGTTTTTCTACCACATAAAAAAATAGAATAGAAAATCCCTTAATTGTCACAATGTGGAAACCTGCTGCTTATTGTGCAGTTTTTGCTGATTACTGTCACCGAATGTCTGCTATTTGTAGGGATTGGTCTGGAAAAGTGTTGCAGGGTTTTGAATCCAGCTTCCCTCTGAAATGCAGAAGCTGTAATTCAGATCAGCTGTGAAATGGGCGGCCATTTTAAACAACGCAGAGCCTTTTATTAGTATTACTCATGATGTGTGAAAATAATCAGTTTGATATTTCTGGAAGGAGAAAAGGAGTTTCATCTGCCGCTGCAGATTTTTTCCCCTGCATCTCTTAAATAATCTGTTTACATGATGTTTCTGCAGAAGCAGGTTCCTTTTGATTGACGTGTCATGGAGGTACGCATTATCTCCCCTCCTCTACCTCAGGGTGACAGTGCAGATCGCACCCTGCCAGGCTCACAGCTTCAACCCTTTATTACCACCTCGCTAGGCCCTCACCGCTCTGATCCTGCACTCTGGGGGAGAAGATAAGCAGGGGGGGGCAGGGGAGCGTGCGGCGGGAGAAACAGGGTTGCAGCAGAGCTGGAAGAGTGGGACAAAAAACGGGAGGAGCACAGAAAGAGGGATGGAGGGAGAGGAGGGATGGAGGGAGAGGAGGGATGGAGGGAGAGGAGCACACAGAGAAAGAGGGATGGAGGGAGAGGAGGGATGGAGGGAGAGGAGGGATGGAGGGAGAGGAGCAGAGGAAAGTGAACAGTGGGAGGAGGGGAGAGAAAACACAACATCACGCTTGATAAGTTTATCTAGCCAGGCTTCAAATTAAATATGAGATTAGGTTGAATGTTGAATGAACAAATTCCATTACATTATGGGGTGATTATGTAGGACTATCCCATATATTAAACAAACAAGACCGCCGCCATGTCTGAGCATCAGCATCGTCTGAGACTCCAAAACAGGAGGCGCAGCTTTTTGCTCGCTAAGTTAAATTTGCTCAAATAGCACAGTAGCTGTTTGAAGAGGCAACATCATTATGTGGAGGTAATAGCATGTGGGAAAATAATGAAGACCGCTGGGATTTTACTAAATCTCTTAAGCAGCAGTTTATGCTAGTTTTATTTAGGTAGATGTCTTCCTGTTTGCATAAGACAGCATCTTCACACAGCTGGTCCAGATTCCTCTGTTAGTTCAGGCTTTTTATTTCTGCATCAAACAATGTCTGGAAAGGTTAGAAACTTAAAACTTTTCTAGACCTGCTTTTACCAGACCTGCTACTCGTCATATAAATGTGGGATGTGGAAACGAGCATCGCATGAATTAGCTGCATCTGTTCTAATATATCAGACTAAACCTGCAAGGCCTCATCTTTTACCCAGTCACTACCTTCACAGTTATGGAAACTTTATTATTCTCCTTACTGTATTTGTCCTTGGCTGGAAAAGATGCCGGACTTTTTACCGACTTTAGCGGCTCGTTTAGCCCTTTGCTTCAGATCTTAATGCTAAAAATGTCTGCATCATTTTTTCTGACTAAATGCTGAATGAATGAATATTGGAGATGAAAGCTGGACTTTTCGATTCACTTTACAAACTAGAGCTTTACAATCACAATCAGCTGCTGTAATTGGTTCAAATTAGAAGAAACATCCAGAAAAACAACAAAGTCAAGCAGACATCTGAGCAAACGTGCGTGTGTGACGGCCAGTGTTTGCTCGTGTGTAGCGGGCGCTGCAGACAGTAACTGAGAGGCGATCAATGAGCTGATGTGAGCTCTGGAGACGGCCCGGCCTCAGCCACAGCAAAACTCTGCAGTCAGCAATCTCTCCTGTACTTCTTCACCAACTCCCTCCTTCTTTGAACCTTTAATGACTAAAATACAGTTCAGTTAAAAATAACACTGCTTTTATTGTCTGCATAGAAAAAATCTTTCTATATTTCTGTCATGATGAGAATAATTCAGTCTGTAAAATGTTTCCTTTTGTTGCTCATTTATTATTCTTAGCTGCAGCGAAATTTATTCTTCACTTCTTATTTCTCGACGTTATTTGGATCAAAGACAGTAAACCTTGGTTTTGTTGACCAAAGGTCCAAAGGTTTCTAAATTGTTTTCTTTTTTAATAAAATGAAAATAAAGCTTGTAGTTGAGTGATTAATATTAGTACGTTAACCAAATAATAAATCCATTATAATGTAAAAGACAGAACATGTGGAGGGAGGAAATGGTTTGGTGGATAGAAAAGCGACCTTTCAAATTAAAAGACTTGATTCTGATCATCAGACAGAATAGTGCTAAAAGCTGAGCAGCCATTCACTAAGGATTGCTGTAATCCAATAACAAACTCTGGGATTGGTACAGATACGTTTAAAAGCTCATTTTTCTTCCCTTCAATTCTATTCAGTTTATTTCTATAGCTCCAATTCACATCATGTCATCTCAGGTCACTTTATAGATCCAGATCAACCAGATCATCCAGTCAGATTGATTCAAAGTTTTCTATCTAAGGAAAAGCAGCTGATTGCATCGACTCATTGACTCTTCAGCAATCCCTCACACTAAGCATGCTTGTAGCGACAGTGGAGAGGAAAAACTCCCTTTGAACAGGAAGAAACCTCCAGCAGAACCAGGCTCAGTGTGAGCGGCCATCTGCTGAGGCCCACTGGGGTTCAAGGAGACAGAAGCAGACATAGAAAAAGAAGCATAGATACAAAATCCTTATTCAATGATTAAATAAAATCGATCGATTTCTTTTTATTGTTTTATTTTCATCAGAAAAAAGGAAATGATTGTCTGAATTTCCAGGTGTATGAATAATTTGGGGTCTTTTTCAGGTGGGATGGCAGCTGAAGAACCTGGTGAACGCTCTGAGAGAAGATCCATGTGGAGTCATTCTGACGCTGAAGAAACGGCCCCAGAACACCCTGAGCTCCACGCCAGCTCTGCTCAGGAACGTCCGCTGGAAACCGCTGGGTCTGCAGGTAAACCAGCACTTCCACACGTTTTCCAAACCTCATTAATCAGAGAAATCCTTGTTTTCAGATGGAAGCTCTTTTAATTTCTTTCTTTCATCTGCTGAGAGCTGCTGATTGCTGAACAAGACTATTCTTAGAGAGATATTTCTAGTTACATTTAGTCATTAGAATAGTGCAACATGAGCTGAACTTTATGATGAAATGACAGAAATCACTGCTTTGTGAGCTGAGCTGGAAACCCAACTCTAAAAGTCTGATTAGTTCCTACCGTTAGCATTTCTATCCTCAGAATTAAACATGAAGGAGGAGACTGATGCAGAGTTCAATATGACCTGCCATCATATTTAACTATTTCTTTCAGCTTTTATCATCATTCCAGTGTCACAAGTACAGAGCAACAACATTCAGTCTCTGCATTTAACCCCTCCCCTTGGGGAGCAGTGGGCGGAGCAGTGTGGGGTTAAGGGTCCTGCTCAGGGACCCAGAGTGGCAGTCTGTGGGAGTGGGGTTCAAACTCAGAACCTCTGGATTCCAAGCTCTATGCTGGAACCACTAGACCAGCCCTCCCCTATGAGCCTTTAATTCAGTTTCCAGCATGATGTCAGACTTACTGAGGGAACCGAGCTGATTGCTCATTGACTTTACAGAGCCTGGTTAAGCATGCAGCAACAGTGGAGAGAAAAACATCTAATCTAACATTCTAAAAGGACCTGCATTAGAACCAGGCTCATTGTGAGCGGCTCTGGGTGAAGAAACATTTATAACGGAAACCTTTTCTCTGGGCAAAGAAGACATCACCAACCACTGGTTTTACTGTTGGGCCAGTTTATTTAGGGAGACAGACTGGTTTAGTTTACGGCTATACCTGAGGAAAATATGTGTAACTATTCACCACCACCTGCCATTGCTTGGTTCTACTCCTCTCTTTTGTTTCCATCACTGTTTTTCCTTTTTTATTAGCGGTGCTTTTCTTGGTCCTGCTCATCTCTGCTCATAGGGCCAGAGGGGCAGCAGCTGTAAGGAAAAAACAAGTAAATTAGGATTTAGTCAGAAGTTTAGTTAAAGGACAAAAAAAGGTCCGGTTATAAATATCACTCAGGGAGGGTCTGTGCACCAACAGTAGAGATGTTTTAAACATCATATTTACAGCCACAGGGTTTCATTCTCCTAAGTTTGGTTCTCAAATCACCTCCAATTTTTGCTTTTACTTAAAGTAAAGATGAAGCGTTTCAGATCTAAAGCTAACTTCAGTGAAGCATCTTTTATAATCCATCTATTGCTGATTTCTTCCGTTTGTGGTGCACAGAAAGAGCAGGCTGGGGTGAGACGGATAAAGGGGTGAGATGAGGGTGACTCTGCCTTGATGCTGTGTGAAGAGCTGACTGTCTTGTCAGCCTCCTGTGTTCCACGGCGGCTATTTTTAACTTTGCATCATCAGACCAGTTCATTTACATGCTACTTCCACGCTTTGATCTCTGCTCATCAGAGCACAGCTGCTCCTTTTCTCTGGCTCTATGTTAACCCTTGCCTTCTTTAAAAAAGCTGCTTCTTGTTTCCATTTTGTTATCCTTGACTTTACTTCCTTCCAGGAGTCTATTGTTCTATTTGTTGTGTGGAAGAACAGAGGATTGGGGCAATGTCTCCCTGACAGACCGTTATGACGCAAACGCGCCACGAGCGTCCAGATAGGAGCTCAGAGACATCTGCTGTAGAAGAAAAGAAAGCCGTGTTTTAGATTCTGTTCTCTCTCAGAAAGACTAGAGCTTTTAATAATTCATAAGCAACAACATGCAGCTCCACTGGCTCTGAAACAAGAGCCACTACTCAGCAAATACTGGAGATAATTCCCTGAATCTAAAATATTTTGCTAACAGCTTGTTTTAGAGAATATTCGTGTGTGTGCTGATAAAAGTGGAGCTGTATGGAGAGGGACTGACATGCTGTCGTTCATGCTTGGCCTCGTGTCTCTGTATGCGTGTTCATGCTTTGTGCATGTATGCAGAGAAATATTTTTCCATTCCGTTTCTGTTTTTTTAGCCCTGATTGCTCCTTTGAAAGAAGTAGGTCACCACTTTCTGTGCGGTTGTTTGATTGGATTCTCCCTGCGCTCTCAAAACAAACACCCACTGAAAACACATGTGCACTTTAAGCCCTGTTCTGCTGAGCGGCGTGCTCGGCTGGGACATTTCAGCAAAAAAAAAAAAGTGGCAAACATTCAGGCGGATTAAATCTAAATCTGCAAAGGAAACAATTTATCTCTGCACATTATCATGTGGATTTAACCAAAGTCATCTAACTGGAAGCCCAAGGTAGGATGGGATAAAAGCTATTTAATAATCCATCGTAATTACAGCCATGATTTGAGTAAAGAGAATGAAGATCAGTGTGATGATGCACATTACAGGCATGACTGCTGTGCAAAAAACCTACAAGCTCCCAGTTATCAGAAGCTGAATCCATTCCTCATATTCCGCCCATTGGCTCCTAAATTATAACATTTGCTATTTTAGGCTCAATACATTTCTGCTTATTGCTCTCTTTTATAATTGCGGCAAAACAGTCATCTTGTCTATTTTGGGTGTCTGACTAATCTTTAAATGCTGCAACTTTAAAATCCATAACTTTATTCCAAACATAATAGCGTGTTTATCCTGGTAAATCGTCATAAGTTGAATTAGGGAGGAGTAACAAATAAGACATTAAAGAAACCGGTTTAAATAAAGGAATCTAAAACCTTCTGTGATTAAATGTGTAAATCAATAAATCCGTTTTACAATTAGACAAAGAAAAGTAAACAAACACTTATCAGATTATGGTTTTATTTATTAAATGGAAAATGCTTTAAAAGCTAATATGATCCCTACAAAATCAACCTGCTGGGATTAGTGTCTCAGAAACAGCAACAAACACTGAGAACAGAATGAGTGGTGATCTATTGGTTAGTCTATAGAGCTATGAATCTAGAGGTTCAAGCCCAACTCCCACAGACTGCCACTGAGCAAGATCCCCACATATGGATCCTTATTTATACCTAAAAACAATAAAACCCCTCCCTCCTGCCATCTTCCAGCAGTGACGTCACGGTGCGGTAAGCCTAGCGCCATTCTCCCCGCTTTACAAGCTAAATCAATGGGAACTACTAGACACATCTGCAATCA